AACCAAATCGTTTCACGTTAACCTGTAACGGGGCTAAATTACACTCGATAGGACAAATCGAACCGAGCACTGGTCGGCTAGAACTCGAGTTCTGTAAAAAAGATGAATGTTCCCGACACTGCCTTTTAACGCGCTTCGACAATGCCCCACCACGGCTGAAATTTGGCATTCAGCCGCGACATACAGTGTCACTGTAAAAGGGAGGGCAAAATCACTTCCAGCCAGCTTCCTCCGTGCCTATCTGCTCTCCCTAGTAAGTTCACCATGCCTAGAGTCACCGTCGCACCAGCTCCCTTTAGCTGTTAAGCGCAGCATTTGCGCGTACAACAGAGCATGACCACCTCACGCTGGAGGATATTGCTCGCTGGTGCTTCACTCGTTTCGGGCTCTGCCCGGATCGAAGCACCATCGCAAGGTGTTGCGCATGGAAGCCAAGTGGACCGATGGCAGCACCCCCACCGCTGCATTCCGTGTCCGAGGCAGCCGCTTTTCCGAGCTTGAGGCTGAACTCCGCGTGTGGATTACTCGTGCTGGACCAGCCGGCATCCCCCTGACGCAGGAGGTATCCGTGAGCAAGCGGAAACCATGGCTCGTGCGGCAGCATTGCCCGCTCCAAATTTCATTGCTCCCTTGGATGGGTTCGTCGTGCCCTTCGTCGTATGGGCATCCGCTGCGTTAAGCAGAAAGGGAGGCGCGGACCAGGATCTGATGTTGTGAACACGTGCAAGGTCAACTTGCCACGCCTTTGATGTACCTCGGGGTCTCTCCTCGCGATGCCTTCAACTTTGACGAGACGGCATTGTACATCAACATTCTGCCTAAGTTCATGTACACGCACTCTGCTGACTCCCCTGCAGGAGGGAAGGCGCCCAAGGAGCGGGTCACGGTTGGCCTTTTGTGTAACGCTGATGCAGCACGATGTTCCGCCCCCTTATTATTCACAAGCATGCTCGCCCCACCTGCTTCCGCCCCAATTTCGACCCCGAGCCCCTCTGCTACTGCTAAGCCAACAAGAAAGGCTGGATGACCAGCCCTGTACGTATTACATGGGTATCACGAATAGAGTGGCAAAATCTAGCATTCCCGCCACGAATCTTAGGGTAACAGAGCACGGTCGACTGAACATCCTTTCACTGTGTGAACCATGTTAAAATACGCGGTCTAGTGACGGGGCAGCAGTCGAAGAAACCTCGAATGTTTGGGAAGAATATCTGGATTGAGGTCTGGTGAGAAAAAGGGTCACTCCAGCGCAACATACTTATGCTCTCCAAGGCATTCCATGTCATTTTCCCTACCTAGGCTTGGAATGCTCGGAGAGCATGGATATGTAGCTCTGGATGCCCCTCTTCCTCACCAGACCTCAACCCTGATATTCTTCCAAACAGTCGAGACTTCTTCAACTGATGCACTGTCACTAGACTCGCGGATTTAACATGATTCTAACAATGAAAGGATGCTCAATCGACCGTGCTCTGTTACCCTAAGTTTCGTGGCGTTATGCTAGATTTTGCCACTCTATACGTGATTTCACCTTACTCTGATTCGACGAAAACAACCCATGATAAGCCAAGACCATTCAACTAATGGCATCTTTGGACACCCTTCGGCTTGGCTAGTCTCAGAGATTACATTCAATCTGAATTCGTGCACAATACTTATGCATACGCTCAAATACTTCGCAATTTTCCTTGTGCTCACCCCCTTATGCAAAATGGTGGGTCAAGGAAGAGTGCGAGAAGCTTCATGCAAAGGTCTGCACTAACCACATAGATAACATGCCTAGGAGGGTGTGGATGGTGATCAACGCCAAGAGTAGGTGGACTAGGTACTAGAAACGTTGTTAGGAAGTTTGCTCTTTGTCCTAGGAAAAAACTGTCCGGATGTACTCGTTGTATATCTTTTGGAGTATGAGTTAGATCCAATGTACTAATCTAGTTCTCAGTGCAGTGAACGCATCCACTTTGTGCCTCTCCCAACGTGTACCACCGTGCATCTTGCAGGTTTACCATACAGTAGTCTCAAAGCCTAAAAACCCAACTTAGTGCCAAACATCCGGACGTTTTTTCCCTCAGTGTAAATGCTCCTTCCATAGAAAATTACTCCCTTGTGTTGTGAGAAGCTTGTGGTAGGAAGTGCGGAGAGTCAAACTCGTTGGCCGTGCACTTGGTTATATGCATGTCTCCGTTGGTTCAGATTTTTCGTTACCTGAAAAGTGTTTTCTGCCCTATACATTTCTCTACTTCCCTTCAGTACTATATCATCACCCTTGCAGTTGAAGGATACTACTTGAGGAAAATACTCAGCTCAGAGATAACGATAGAGGTAGTACACACGAGCACATTGATTGCTACTATTTCCGCATGCGTTTATCCTTGCAGTTGTTCACCAATTTTATGGGGAAGATAAATGCAGCGATGTTCGCTGAGCAGCGCTCCATCGTGGTTCTCGTCGACAACGCAAGCAGCCACACCTTGCTCGGCAATACCGTGCGCTCCGAGGACCTCTTCGGCTTCAGGACCCGATGCCTCAGCAATTTGCGGGTGGTCTACCTCCCCCACAATACCACCTGCTTCACCCAACCACTCGATCAGGGAATCATCTCGACCCTGAATACCCGCTACCGAGGGAAGCTCCTACGGAAGGTCGTGGCAGTGTGGAACTTGACCTGCAGCGCCAGCACGGTGCACCGTGAGAGTGTCTGGACGAAGATGACAGAGGCGTTGTAGATGCTAACGTAATGGTTTAGCATCAGCCCGCGCACCATCCAGCGTTGCTTGTGGCGTACGGGCTGCTTGCCCAACTCTTGGGCCATGGAATTGGAGCACCTCGCATTGCATGTGGCAGACCCCCTGGATGAGGAGGTTGAACCAATGCTGGAGGAGGAGATTGGAGATGTCGGCACCCTCATCCGAACCCTCCCCTTGGGCACGGGTGTGATGCTCGCGGCGACGTACGTCTCCTTTGATGACAACCAGCCAACATGCGATATGCCCGGGGCTGACCCTCTCGCCATTGAGCCGTCACCGCCACCGCAGCGTGCATCTTGGTTGGGGGCTCCAACCTGTCCTGCAGCATCTGACGATGTGTCGCCGGAAGCTCGCGAGGCGCGCTGCATAGCGCGGGCCGCCACTGAGATCATCATCGGCTATTCTCGAGCAACAGGAATTACTCCGCAGGATTTGAGGGTTCTATTTGACATTCGCAATCCTGAGGTTGTAGAGAAGCTGGAGCGTGCAAGCCCGCCGCTGCCCGACCTGAACGCCGCTGCAAGTAGCGATGCTCCCTCCCCGCAACCCTACAGGGTCCTGCCTCAGCATTTCCACGACTCTGCTAGGAGGATGCAGCTGATGCGGGAGGGCGTGGACAGCGCCATGGACGGCTATGAGGAAGCCGCCGAACTGATCAGGACCCTGTGAATTAGCTCAGCTAGGGCCACAGCACCACACCCAAGTTGACGCTGGGTGGTTGCATCAGCACAAGCTGCCAGCAACGTGGGCATGCGTGCCTCTTGTGAGCGAGCAATGGGGGAGGGTTATTGTGGACAATGTGTGCTAGCTGGATTTCTCATTGTTTTACGAGTTCAGTGCTAGCTGTTTCCTTCGGTAATTTGCGCGCTTCGTAGCTGCTGATTTGCGCGCGTCGTGAAAATTGCGTGGTAGCAGTTGGATTTGTCTGAGTCAAGAAGCTTGCATGCAAGGTAAAGGGTTTTTTGAGCGCCCTAGAAGTTGCCTCCCAGCTGTCGGAATTGTGAGTGTCGAGGAATTTGAGTGCACGTAGTTACTGTAGTTCGTGTGCTGCGCGAACCTGTTTGGTGTGCCTGCTGGAGGCGCAACTTTCCACCTGCGCCTAGTTTTGTTTTGTTTGTTCGTTCTGTCTGAAAGTGGGCTGATTCTGGCTGGCTGGGTTTCCCGTTTTCCTTTTGTTTCTGACTGAACGAATGGTTTCGGGACGCGCGGGGTGTTCTAGAAATTCCATAGGCGAAACCAGGGAACGATTGTGTGACAGTTACCGGGGTACACGGGAGAAACAACGAATGTTGTTATGAAATAGGAAGTGTCAATGTACTATAATGTGAGAATCCAAGGTCGCCATTGCAGTGAGGGCACGAGGTTATATAGGAGTTGGCTTACTAGGGCGATAACCTCGGAACGTGGGTAGGTTCGGCAATGTGGCGACAGTGCTGGACGCGACTTAGGAAGGGTTGGGCCAATAATTGAGGCCGAACGTGACGAATCGAGGAAGTCGGGTGTACGCGCTAGCGTACGACTCAGTAAGGAATGGAAATTCCTTACACTACCCCCCCCTCCTAAACGAGACCGCGGGCATCGGAAACATTTCGACGCTGATAATACGCTGTTAGAATCGGATGTGATTCTAGCTCAGCGAGCGGCACCCAGCTGTCGTCTTCGGACGTGCGATCGCGCCAGCGGACAAGAAAATCAACCATCCGACGGTTCAGCTGCGTCGTGACTTGATGGCCGGGAATTTTCAAAGGCTCGGTCGTCGGTTCCTGCAGAGGCGTTAGTTGCAGTACAGCGCGTTGGCGCACCAAGTCTGACGAACTGGGGACGTAAGGCCGTAAGAGGCTGACGTGGAACGCCGGGTGGTGACGCCAATCAGCCGGGAGTCGGAGGTGAGCAGTGACAGGTGTCACCATATTCGTCACTTGAAAGGGTCCGCAGAATCTCGAGCGGAGTTTGCTCCGGATCGGCAGCCGAAATTGCGACTGTTGAGGAGGACGAGATCTCCCACTTTGTAAGTGACATCACGTCGATGGCGATCGGCTTGTCGGCTTGCGACCATGTTGGCTTTCCGGATGGCCTCGGCTGCTTTTTCTCGGGCGGCGAGAATGTCTTCAGCAAATTTTTGGGATTGGGGCACGGGTGTCTCGATGTTCGGTATAGAGGGAACCAATGGGTCCTGTCTGTAATTTTGGAAAAATAGGGACTGATGCGTTGTCGCGGAGGGCGCGTTGTTATACGCGAATTCCAGCAGCGGAAGGGATTTCTCCCATGTCTGTGGGTCAGTACAGGTAGTCCGAATGATTGCTCCATAGTTTGGTTGACTCGTTCGGTCTGCCCGTCGGTCTGTGAGTGGTAGGCAGAGTAAAACTGTAGTTTGGTGCCGAATGGTCCCACAGGTGGCGCCAAAAATTCGATGTGAATTTCGGGTCTCGGTCTGAAATAATTGCGGTAGGCAGTCCGTGCAGGCGAATGACGTTGGCGATGAACAGTTGAGCAGTTTGCTCGGCTGTAATTGTCTGTTGGCAAGCGATGAAGTGTGCCATTTTCGTGAGTCGATTGACGACCACGAGGATGGCGTCGTTTCCGCTGGGACCGGCTGGCAGTCCTGTTACGTAGTCCATCGTGATGTGTTGCCATGGTCGCTCGGGCAGATCCAACGGCTGCAGTAGTCTGGCTGCTCGCTGATGAGAAGATTTCATGATCTGGCAGGCGGTGCAGGAGGACACGTACTTGCGCACGTCGTCAGCCATGTTTGGCCATTAGTAGTTGCGCTGCAACATCTTGTAGCCGTAGTTGAATAGTCCGGTAAGTAATGGGCTGGTCTGGGCGATTAGTATGGCGGCGGTATGGGTAGTAGGTCGGGTCAAGGCATCGGCGATATTGTTGGCGCCCCGTTTTTAGGTGATGGTGTAATGGAAATTCGACTCAAGGAAATCGAGCCATCGGATCTGTCGCGGGTTGAGATTCGGTTGGGCTTGCAGGTACTGTAAGGATTTGTGGTCAGTTCGCACCGCGACGTCAGCGCCTATCAGGTAGCACCGCCAGGTCTTGAACGCGTGGATGATCGCCAACATTTCCTTGTCGTGGACTGTATAAATTTTCTCCGCGCCTTGCAGCTTCCGTGATTCGTAGGGCGACTGGCTGTAACTTGTCGCCGAAATCCTGTAGGAGAACTGCACCGATGGCGATGTCGCTGGCGTCGATGATGACTTCGTATGGACGGTCAGGATCGGAGATGCGAAGAACGGGCGGCAACGTGAGGGCGATCTTCAGTTGGTCGAATGCAGCTTGCTGCTTCTCTCCCCACAAAAAACAATCGTGATCCTTCAATCGGTCGGTTGGCGGTGCAGATAACCCAGCCATATTTGGTATAAAGCGGCGGACGTAGTAGACGAAACCTAGAAAACTCTGTAATTCCTTGAGGTTGGTCGGCGGCTTCCATTCCTGGATTGTCTTGATTTTCTTGGGGTCGATTTTCACTCTTTCGGTAGATACGACGTGTCCCAAAAACTCCAACTCCTGCTTAAGGAAGTCGCACTTAAACCCTTTTGTGATGAGGCGATTCTTGTGCAGCAGCGTGAAGACTGCATCAAGATCCTTTTAAGTGTTGCGCCCTGCTATGGCTGTAGATTAGGATGTCGTCGAGGTAGATAATTACGCATTTATCCAAGGGTTCCCTGAAAACGCCGTTCATGGTCATCTGGAATGTCGAGGGTGCGTCCGTGAGGCCAAAGGGCATCACCAGGTATTCGTAACTGCCGTAGGGGGTTCGGAAGGCGGTTTTGTGACAATCTTCGGCGGTGACGCGAATTTGACGGTAACCTCCTCACAAATCGATTTTCGAGAAGGACTTGGCTCCGCGAAGTTGGTCGGGTAAATCGCCAGCTCGCGGGATCGGGTAACGGGACTTGATTGTGATCATGTTGAGGGCGCGATAGTCAATGCACATGCGGAATCCTCCATCTTTTTTCGGGGTGAATAGGATCGGGGCGGCGTATGGGGACTTGCTGGGCCGGATAAAACCCTTCGTGAGAAGATAATCCAGTTGCTGCTGCAGTTTTTCCTGTTCCGGTTGGCTGAGCCAAAATTGTCGCTGTACTGTTGGTTGGGCGCCTGGTTCCAACTCGATGCGATGGTCTTCTGGTCGGCGCGGCGGCAATCCAGCGAGCAGGTCGTCCGGGAAAATCTCGAGATACTTCCGAATCAGGTCCGCTAAATCCGAAGGAACAGCATCGCACAGCTTCGCGATATCTTCGGCTGTTGTCGGCGACGTCACCTCGCGAAGATCGACGGCTTACGCTGCAGCTCCCGCTTTTATCGCGCGTTTGAAGGTTATCGCATGGACTTGGGTGCTCTGCATTCGAGGCCCCGTCCATTTCGGGAGTGTGCGATGAATCCCGTCGAGTTTGATGCTGCAGCCGCCCGTTGTCTAGTCAATCTTCGCGTTGTACTGTCGCAGCCAATCCCTTCCGAGCAGCACGTCGCATCCGTCGAGCGTAGTCGCCAGCAGCCCCATCCGAAATTTTACGTGCTCCCCGCAGTGGAAACCGACGTTCTCCACTCGTTCCCGTATGGTTAGCGGTGTTCAATCTACTAGGCGGGCGTCAATTTCTGGTAGACACTTAAGTAGGGGAATACTCAAATTTTTAGCCCTGCCCAGCTGTATGAAACTGTGGCTCGCGCCTCCATCCACGAATATTTTCAGCAACACCCCGTTGACTTTACCCTCCACCAATACAGGGTGATCAGCATTTTCGTCCCCCTTATTCGTCCGGGTCCGGTCGATTGCAGCAATCGGGATCACGACCGAGTGGGGACTGTGTGGCTCGGGCGAAGAAGCCTGCCCATCAGTAAGGGGCCCGGTACTTACTAACGCGAGCCATTCCTTGGTCGCTCCTCCGGCTTCTTCCCCATAGAATTCTGAGTGGCTACGATTTCTAGGCAGTTGCGTCGGATGTGACCCGGTCGGCCACAGTGGTAGCATAGCCCCGTATTTCGCGGAGCAAGTGCGTAGATATCCACTGCGTCCATCCCTTTTATCGTGGCACGCTGGTACTGTTCTCGAGGGCGACCTCCATCGTAGACGTTCGTCCTCGGCTTAGTGAGCAAATCAGCGGCTTCGGCGAGCTGGATAAAGTCTTGTAACCGCTTCGCAGGGCGTTGCAATTTTATCTGGTACTGTATTTCAGGCTTCAGCCCGCCCATGTACCTGTCGACCTTTTCCAACTCGTGCATGTAGCCACATCGATCCACCAACATCAAGAATGACGCGGTGTATTCGGACACAGATCCCAGCTGCTTCCACATGCGTAGAGTCTCGCGCGCTTTGTCTAAGTTAGGAGCGTGCTCAGACCGCTTGCGAAGTTCTGCGCACCAGGTTGCCCACGTGCGAATGTGGGTTGCACCAAACAGCAAATCTGTCTCGTCTTCGTCGCCGAATTCTTCGGACCACTCATGCTGTCCTTCTGTACGAGTTGCCGCTGAGTCGACGATGACCTTCCACCACTGTAGGGCGGCCCCTTGCAACAGTGTCAATGCATGGCTGATCCGCTTCTGATTGTCTCGGATGCCCGCCGCGTTGAAATAGATATTCATGGCGAATATCCACTGCCGCACAGTCACGCCTTTATTAGCTGGGTCGAAAGGAGCGGGTTGCTGATATCTCATGCCGCCACTTGTCGAGCGCGGGGCGGTTGCCCCTAGTAATGCCATCTCCACTGGCGATGGTTGCTGCTCATCCGCCTCGCTTCGTGCATCGTCGCCCGGCTCCTCTGAACGCCTTTCCAGCGCCTAGCGAAGTCGTTGGTTTTCGTCGCAGAGGTTATTGACGACGCTTTTCAAATTCTTTAACTGCTCCATTAATGCTTTTAGGTCCACTGTTTCCTGGGCAGGGTTCGCAGCAGCCGAGGTCGTCTGTTCTTCAACCGTCGAGTCTACCTGGGCCATGGCGGTCAGGACGAGGTAGAAACTAGCGCACACGGTGTAGTTGTTGACGTAAAAATATTTACGATCGAAGACAACTGCTGTGCAGCCGTGTTAATCCCCTCTGACCACCCTTAACTAAATTAACGGGGAAACAAAAAGCCCCTGGAAAGTTCAGGCTCTAATACCAGCTGTTATGAAATAGGACGTGTCAATGTACTATAATGTGAGAATCCAAAGTCGCTATTGTAATGAGGGCACGAGGTTATATAGGAGTTGGCGTACTAGGGCGATAACCTCGGAACGTGGGTAGGTTCGGCAATATGACGACAGTGCCAGACGCGACTCGGGAAGGCTTGGGCTGATAATTGAGGCCGAGCGTGACGAATCGAGGAAGTCGAGTGTACGCGCTAGCGTATGAATGGAAATTCCTTACTAATGGCATCCATGTTCGAAGGGTCCTGCCAAACGGGTAAACGTGGTCCTACCTTCAGGCCCAATTTGCCAGGGATTTGAAGGTGTCCGTTACTGGAGTAACCGGCCGAAAAAAACTTAGGCCTCTTTCAGAACTCTAGTGTAGCCTGTATGTTGGCGCCCTGGTTGTCAACTGGTACGTCGCATCCGATCGTCTAGACAGTTGCGACAGCTCGTCCGCCCCAACGACTCCCCCCTGCTTATGCTGGCTCGCGACGCCATCCTGTACGTTGCCTTGCTGTGTGGCTGAGTTTGTGTCGCACGCACTGCGACGGTGGTTGCTGTGTGTCGCACATTCCGTTGGTCGTGCGGCTCGCAAGCCCGAATCGCTATATCTGGGTGGATGGGTTTTGTTTGGGTTAGGTTGGGTTCCTTCCTCCCACCCAACCAAAATCATCACTGGGCTTGCTCGCTGCTGCTCGTGAAACAAACACGTGTCGCCACCAGGGCTTATGTTAGGTTTTTTAACAGCTCTGACGCTCAGAGCTCCCTTCAAATTTCACCCTGAAAACCCAGGGTCCAAAGCTATACTGCTCTGTTTTTTCAGGGCCAGCCGGAAAAATGCTCGGCGAGCGCACATTTCCACGGATTTTACTTGAGGTTGTTCCAAGCTCTGCGTCACATTGGATTCGCGTTATTTCTAGGGGTATGAGGGGAGTACTCCTTCCCAACAAGTTTCCTGGTAGGCAAGTCATAGAAGAGTGACGGGTGTTAGGAGTGTGCGAGATAAGGGGTGAGGGGAGTGAGGGGCGCCGGGGGAGGGACGGTGCAAGTATTGGAAAAATCAGGGGTGCCTGAAAATTTTCTTGGAGTTTCCAGGGTCGCCTGACGATCTTCCCGGATTTTGTCTGGTCTGGGTAAAAACAATCCGGAGAAAATCAGGGCTGGTCTAAAAACTGCCTTATAATTTCAGTCAAGTCAGGGCAAATGCTCTGATAACATAAGCCCTGGTCGCCACCCTGAAGTTCCAAGTTATTAGCACCTGATAAGCAATTCCGCGTCTCATTCCCATTCGGTCCGTTCCGTACTCCGCACACTCTCCTAGTTCACACCTACGGTCTGTGCTGCATGCGCTATCGAAATTTCTTGCCACTTTTTCCCATTCGGTCACGATGACGACTCAACGCGGCTCACGCGCGGCCCTCCGGACTCAGCGAGCCGCTCCTATCATGATTGTACGCGCAGGCCTCGCCTGTGGGCTCTTTCTTGCGTTCGCACAGATCGCGAACGCGTCGCAAATACTGACTCGTAACAGCACGCTTTCTACCGTCGGGGGACGGCGGCGCAGTTTGTTTTTTCTGCCGTTCGGCCGCTTCATGTGCGCCAAGTCCGGAATGAAGGGTTACTCTTCCAAGATGTCGCTCCAGTTCGGGTGAGCTATAATGCAGGCCTCGGATATAGACAAAATGTGCAATAACTTCATTCCAGGACGCAAAAAAAATGGTGCATGATCTTTGTTCCGCACGAGTTTCTCCTTTCCTTTCTCCTTGTCGCTCGACCTTCCCCTTCTCCCCGCGCCATTTGTCCCCCTCCCTTATCCCCGTTACAGGCTCGTGCTCCACTGGAAGGCCACCAAGTCGAAAACGATAATGTTCGCGATTCAAGCGCGCAAGGGCTCCGCGGCCTACAAGGCCGGCTGGTTCGCCGCGGGGTGGTCCCCCGACGGGGGCATGGGCGGAAGCAACGTGATCGCGTACGAGAGCGGAACGGGCGCCGCTGCGCCGTACGATTGCATCCAGCAATCCGCCGCCGTCCCTGCCACGTCCTGGGCTCCTCCGACGTCCGTTTCCACCGGGAAGCACGGGATCATCGTGAAGTGAGAGCTCCGTTCGCCGAGTTTCTCACTCCCCTCTGACTCGAGCTTCTAAATCTCCCCTGAATCAAGCTTCTAACTCCCCCCTGACTCGAGCTTCTAACTCCCCCCTGACTCGAGTTTCTAACGAGCGGTCTTGAATGCTCCGACATTCGCCTTTCCCGTTCCGCGTCCGCATTTCCCTTTTCGCCGTTCCCCATTTTCCCATCCTCCCACATTCGCCTTTGCAACGCCCCCCGGGCCGCCCGCATTTCGCCTCACGCTTCCTCCTCGCTATGCGCTCCTCACCTCTTTCCTCCCCTCTGCCTCTCGCCCTCCTTGGGTTGGGACCCATCGGGTTGAAGCGCTCTCGAAGCGACGGCTCCTCACTGAACGTGCACAACAGCAGGAGATACAGACTCTCCGCTGATTCTCCTCACACCTTTTCCTCCTCCCAGACAGGGCACTTTTTTTGCCCTCTCGCAATTATTTGACCTTCCAGGTTTCACACTCCCTTTGACAGTCAGCTCGTCACTGGAGGCGCACAGCGGGGGGTGCACTGCGCCCACACCATGCCGTGACCCACTCTCCCTCCCCCATTCCCCATGTCCCCTCCTCGCTGTCCACCCACCCCTTCCTCTCTCCTCCCTCCACTCCCACTTGTTCTAACCTTGACCCATCAGGTTCACCCGCTCGTCCAGTGATGGCTCGTCAGTGAAGGTGTACAACAGTGGGGGCATGCACATTGTGTTTGCTTATGGCCCCGACTCGTCTGTCGCCTTGCATAGCGACGCGTACGTGCCTCGGAACCCCTCAGTGTCCTATCTGCGTGGCTTGCACTGCTTGAGTCAACTCTTTGACTCTTCAGTTGACTTGCATACCTATGCGTGTTTTACAGATGGCAGACTGGCCCCTCATTGGCAGGTTATTCTGGGTTATTTCCCGCTCATATCACACATGCATTGTGCTTGTTGATTTGCACCTTCTGGCCATTTTCTTCTGCTTCGCAGGGAGAATGCTGCGGTGGACTTCTCCTGTGGCTGTGGTCCTTTTAGGAGTTGGTGCTGAGATCCGGCCAGACACTTGTAGAAGTCATTGTTCAGGTAGTGCGGATTACACTATGAAGATTCTTGTATTTTGTTTGAACATTCTGGTATATATTGGTTCCTGGTCCTGTCCATGATATGCTAACGTACAATATGCCCCCCCGGCATCATTCAAGATCGATCTTTGAGAAAAAACATATTTGCAATCGCCTTAAAGGACGTGGTACTACATTTGGGTAATCAACATCGATACATTGGATCTGAACTCAAAAACATTTGTTGTGGTCACATCGAAGCTGCTTATCTCGCGTCTGCATCCCTTCGCCTAGAAGAAAACTCCAGAGCTTCACAGATTTCTCATTTCTCTTTGGCCGAAACCCCAAGCCACCTTCTGTCCAGAAACTCGTTATCTCCGACTGGTTCAGCGCTCCTTATCTCCTGTGTTCAGCCACCTCCTTATCTCCGACTGGTTCAGCGCTCGTGTTTTCATGCAGAGTTAGACATTGCCTCGCATGTCATCCATCTCGAAACGTCTTGCCTGTCTTTGATGTCAGATCTCCACTTCCTTGGTCTCACGCGTGCGCGCTTTATGGATATTTTGTGCTCTATGCGTACGCACATGACGGTATGGTCCTTGCGATCATAACCCTTGGAAGCGCGTGACGAATTGTATCGGTCTCGTTCGTCGTAATGGCAGTGTCTCATTGCCTTGCCGACAACGATAATACATCACCACCCATAGCCTGATGCTTCCATCCCTTGAAACCCCTCGGATTTTCAAGGAGTCAACGTGTTGCTCCATTATGACCCCTGTTGACCTTTGGCTTTTGTTCGGATTTTGGTTGATTCTCATGGGTTTTATCTGAGGCCTCGACATCTGTTTTTTGACGTGGCATTGGAAGCGAATGATGAATTGTATTGGTCTCGTTCGGCGTAATGGCATTCATTGCCTTGCCGACAACCATACTACATCACCACCCATAGCCTGATGCTTCCATCCGTAAATACATTCGTGGTTAAGGGGACTAAGGTGTTGCTTTGTCGCGCACGTCTCATTTATGTTTGCCTGCTGCTCGATTCTTGCTGCTTTGGCAACCTGTGTTCTATGCTTGTTGGTCCAGCCATGTGGTCCAATATTTGGAAGCGAATGATGAATTGTATTGGTCTCGTTCGACGTAATGGCAGTGTCACTGCCTTGCCGACAACCATATTACATCACCACCCATAGCCTGACGCTTCAACCCTTTCAAAGCTCACATGATCGAAGGGGTTTTGCTCTGTTCCCCTCGCCTCAGGCATGCTTTTTTTTTGCTCGGTTCAGTTTGATGGCACTTATCCATGGTAACAGGTCTGGCCTTCAGATCCATTGTGCTATGACTCTGAAAGCGCATGAAACAGTAATGACCTCGTCCGTCGTAATGGCAGTGTCTTCCACTGTCGTGCTGACAACCATATGGGCGTGTCCCCCAAACGTACATTTCCGCCCAACACCACATCCAACCGTGTTAGGCTACTCCATCCTTCTGACTCTCCTGACTTCACCCAACTGCTATCAGACGTACGCTTGGAGCACGCCCTTACGCGTCACCACCATTAAATCTGTTAGTCATTAAATTGAAATGCTATCTAGTTGTTTTTTTACTCAATGAAGTCATCCGTTGTAGTCTAGTCGGTTAGGATATTCGGCTCTCACCCGAAAGACCCGGGTTCAAGTCCCGGCAACGGAATTTTTCGACTATATTCTACTTCCCCAGTCTCTTCTCACTCACCACCTTTTGTTGTTGCCTCCTCGCACGGTCACCATACGATGCGGCGAGTTGGTGTGACGTGCTGGTGTCCGTCCCTTTTTCTCCTCCGTCAAGCTGCTTTTTCCTTCGTGTCTATCCTCTCCTCTACTCCTCGTCGGTTAGGACAGGCCTCGATGATCACGCCTTGAGCCTGCGACATTCTACCCTATCCTTGTGCTCGCGACTAGTTTAGGAACTTCTATGGCAGATCCTGCAATGGCTACGCAATCTCTTGCTCGTGTGCGTTTTTCGCGGGCGAATAGTGTGCGATATTTGAAAGCGAATCTTGCAGGCGGATTCCCTCAGTTGAGTCAGCCAGTTTGCCATTCAGCCAGTCACAATCAGCGGCCCCTCCCGCTCTCGCAGTAGGATGTGACAAGCAACTTCGTCGCATGTAGGCACTTAGTTGCTGCTGATCGGCAATGTAGCAGGAGCGGGCAGAGGAAGCACCTGGAACCAGCAGCACAGGGGATGGTGAGAGTTCTGAAGGTAGTCAGGGATGCTGCACAATGGTCATATCTTGCCACTGTTCTTGAAGTCGAAGGCGAAGGCGAAGTCGCATACACCTGGTGGTGGTTGCGTGGCAGCTGCCGAGGGCGAGCGTTCTGATATTTGGTCAGGGATATTGCACAATGGTCATGTCTTACTACGGTACTGATTCTTCAATCTCCTCCCTCGTCCACATCCCCCTACCCCCCCACATCTAACCCTCCCCTCCCTCCCTGTACTTTCCACTCTCCTACAATGCTTCTCCTTAGATGCATGATGTGGTGCGTTGGAGGGCCCGTCGGAGCCAGCTTGGGTGACACTTCGCTTCATGAGAGCTCGGCTGTCAGCCATTTCCTGGAGGCACCTTCCAGCCCTTTTCAGAGCTGGTTGTAAATGCCAATTCATACCAACTCTACCGTTGGCATCATGTCAAGAGAACAAGGCAAGTTTTTGTGAAGCGTCTACCTTGCCAAGGTTACAGATAGACATGACCTGCAAAGGTGAGCGTTTTTTTTTTTTTAAGGATATGTGAAGATTGTCCATTATGAAAATTTGTCGTTCCTCGATTTTCCATTTGCTTTTTTAGGCATGTCCAACCAAGAGGCGTATGACACAAACTGCACTTTCGTGAGTGTTCCGCCGTAACAGACTTCAGTCTGTTGCGATGTCGCCGTCGTTGGTTGGCCCGACGAAATCAGTTTTGACGTGACACATTTCGGGATTTCTCGCTAACTCCCCCCGCCTTTCCCCCACCACTCATTTTCAGCAAGCAGCACACCTTGCGAATGTTTCGATGGTGACCTCTGCTGTCGCACCTCGCCTACCGTCGCCGCTTCTCGAAATTCACAATCGCGAGTTTCGCCGCAGCGCCCTATTATCGGATCGCGCGCCATCCCAATGTGCATTGGAAATTGACCCCCGCTTCTTCCAACATTTTCGACAGCATCAGTCGCCGTCAGAAAATTTCGCCACCTTAGCGCTGCTGGTAAGGTAAGCCCTTCAGTCCCTTTCCAACATCTTCGGCAGCATCAGTCGTTTCCACGCTTCTTGCTCAATTCAACCACTGGACAGTAGTACTGGTGACTTGCATGACTACGAGCTCATAACTTGCACCTGATCCGTTGACCTATTCCTGACACAGATTTGCTGACAATCAATCTTTAGTTTTGGTGGTCCAAAGGACAGAGGGAAAGGCTATAGATAGGTTACTAAAAACTTAGCTTAGCATCAGCCCTGGCCCTGAGATCCCTCAGCTACGCAGGCGTACTTCCAAAATTTCTCAAATGTCTCCGAAATTTTCAATCCTTCCACCACATGTCACATGGCCCCCTCCCCTTCCTCGCATCAAGACGCGGTGCAAGGAAGCAGCAGACCTACAATTTTCAGATCTGCAAGCCGCAGCAGGATCGTCGCAACCAGGGCCAAAAGAGGGGCCACCGCCACCGGACTCGAAAGCACCAGCGAATTCCATTCAGAGGCGCGCTGGGGACTATTCTGGCAGTCTGTCATCTCTAGACGTGTCCGGCGGACGCTCCACTGGCAGTGGCGCTCGTCCAGAAACAGCAAACGATGATTTCCAGCCCGTGTCCCCTATAAGCCGCCTCTTCCTGGACCCCGCTCTGAGCACTGTCATCCTGATGGCCATGGAGTTTGAAGAGAGCGCCATGGGACTGAAGGAACTGAGGGAGTTGGTGCGCGCCCTGCTGTCCTCCCAGCCGCGCTTCACCAGCCGAATTGTGAGTCCCTCCCGTGCTGTCTTGTTTTCTCATCTCGTTTCTTCGTGGATCTCTCTTCCCCGCTCCGAGCATTGACACTCTGATGGCCATGGCGTTCGAAGAGAGCACCATGGGACTGAAGCATATAGCAGCTTTCGTGCAGCGCCGGCTGTCCTTGTCCTCCCCGCCGCGCTTCACAGGCTTCCGTCTCCTTCTCTCGGTGTGACTTGCGCTCTTTCCCTTGTCTCCCTTGCCTCCCTTGTCTCTCTTTGCCCTCACCACCAGGAGCACCGTGGCTGGTGGCATGCGCCCACGTGGGTGCCTACCCACGTGGACTGGGCTGCTCACGTGGTGGAGGAACCTTCGCTCTGTGCCGCATGCAGCAGTGATGGGCCCATAAAGACTGAGAGCCACAAGGAACAATATCCTCGTTATAGTGTGCCCCGCTGCAGTGTAGAGAGCCACGTGGTTCGCCTGCAGACCCTCCCGCTCTTCGATTTCAGCCAGCCGTTGTGGCGGGTGCACCTGCTGCCCACCTGTGCGCACATCCCTCGCTCCACTGCTGTCTTCCGGTGAGTGCAAGAGCACCCTTGGTACAGCTTTCTAGTTTAGAAGCGCATGTGCTAGGTAGATGCACATGCGCACCTTGGTAACAGATAGATGCATCTGCTGCCCACCCTGCTCGCACATCCCTCGCTCCACTGCTGTCCGGTGAGTGCAAGAGCACCTTCACTATATTCACTTGTTCGGAAGCACATGTTGAAGCAGACGCGTGCACCTGCTGCCCGCCTGCTCGCACATCCCTCGCTCCACTGCTGTCTTCCGGTGAGTGCACCTTTCGTATTAGTCACCTTGTTCAGAAGCACACTGCGGTGGCAGATAGAAGCACCTTCTGCCCACCTGCACGCGCACATCCCTCGCTCCACCGCCGCTTTCCGGTGAGAGCATAATCACCCTTGGTAGGGCTATCTACTGCTGGGGCGCACTGCTCCGCTGGTAGGCGCACTGCTCCGCTAGTTCAGAAGCGCGCGTGATAGGTCAAAGATAGTTGCAGCTGCTGCGCACACATCCCTCTCTCGACTGCTGTCTTCTGGTGAATCCGCCTTCCCACTCCCTTTTCCATGCTTGCTCCTCCAGCATCCGCCACGTCATTGGCGATGGCACTTCCCTCGTGTCTCTGCTGTCTTTTTTTGAGGCGCCTCAAAAATCGATGGCACTTCCCTCGTGTCTCTGCTGTCCAACCTCTACATCGCCCTCTGTTTCCCCCCTCCCCTTCCCTCCCTTTCCCTCTGTTGCCCTTGGAGCATCCACCATGCGATAGGCGATGGCACCTCCCTCGTAGCCATGCTCTCTCACTCCTCTATTCCCCTCTGTTTCCCCCCTCCCCTGTCCGTTTCCCCCCTCCCCTGTCTGGTTCCCCCCTCCCTTGTCTGTTTCCCCCTCCCCTGCCTGGTTCCCCCCTCCCCTGTCTGTTTCCCCCCTCCCCTGCCTGGTTCCCCCCTCCCCTATCTGTTTCCCCCCTCCCCTGTCTGTTTCCCCCTTCCCCTGTCTGTTTCCCCCCTCCCCTGTCTGTTTCCCCCCTCCCCTGTCTGTTTCCCCCCTCCCCTGTCTGTTTCCCCCCTCCCCTGTCTGTTTCCCCCCTCCCCTGTCTGTTTCCCCCCTCCCTTGTCTGTTTCCCCCCTCCCTTGTCTGTTTCCCCCCTCCCCTGTCTGTTTCCCCCCTCCCCTGTCTGTTTCCCCCCTCCCTTGTCTGTTTCCCCCCTCCCCTGTCTGTTTCCCCCCTCCCCTGTCTGTTTCCCCCCTCCCCTGTCTGTTTCCCCCCTCCCCTGTCTGTTTCCCCCCTCCCCTGTCTGTTCCCCCCTCCCCTGTCTGTTCCCCCCTCCCCTGTCTGTTCCCCCCCCTGTCTGTTTCCCCCTCCCCTGCCTGTTCCCCCCTCCCCTGTCTGTTTCCCCCCTCCCCTGCCTGGTTCCCCCCTCCCCTGTCTGTTTCCCCCCTCCCCTGTCTGTTTCCCCCCTCCCCTGTCTGTTTCCCCCCTCCCCTGTCCGTTTCCCCCCTCCCCTATCTGGTTCCCCCCTCCCCTGTCTGTTTCCCCCCTCCCCTGTCTGTTTCCCCCCTCCCCTGTCTGTTTCCCCCCTCCCCTGTCTGTTTCCCCCCTCCCCTGTCCGTTTCCCCCCTCCCCTGTCTGGTTCCCCCCTCCCCTGTCTGTTTCCCCCCTCCCCTGTCTGTTTCCCCCCTCCCCTGTCTGTTTCCCCCTCCCCTGTCTGTTTCCCCCCTCCCCTGTCTGTTTCCCCCCTCCCCTGTCTGTTTCCCCCCTCCCCTGTCTGTTTCCCCCCTCCCCTGTCTGTTTCCCCCCTCCCCTGTCTGTTTCCCCCCTCCCCTGTCTGTTTCCCCCCCCCCTGCCCCCCTCCCCTGTCTGTTTCCCCCCTCCCCTGTCCGTTTCCCCCTCCCCTGTCTGGTTCCCCCCTCCCCTGTCTGTTTCCCCCCTCCCCTGTCTGTTTCCCCTCTCCCCTGTCCGTTTCCTCCCTCCCCTGTCTTTTTCCCCCCTCCCCTGTCTGTTTCCCCCCTCCCCTGTCTTTTTCCCCCCTCCCCTGTCTGTTTCCCCTCTGGTCTCTCCCAGCATCCACCACGTCATTGGCGATGGCACGTGTTTATGTTTCTGCTTTACAGCTATCCACATACACCATCTGCGTTACACCATCTGCTTTACACCATCTGCTTTACACCATCTGCTTTACAGCTATCTGCTTTACAGCTTTACAGCTATCTGCTCTACATTGCTCTCTGTTCCCCCTCCCCTTTCCCTCCGCTGCTCCTCCAGCATCCACCACGTCATAGGCGATGGCACATCCCTCATGTCTCTGCTGTCCAGCTACTCCATGGCAACGAACCCATGCATACCCCAGCCCACCAACTTAAAGCCTCACTTCAAGCCCGCTGATGCTCCCTCGAATTCGGCCCAGTTGCCGCAACCCTCCAAGCCCAGCAGCAGGAGATGCAACGTTGAGGCGGCTCAGTGCTTCACGAGGCAAACACAGGGAGTCGACGCGGGGCAAGGCGCGCAGGAGTTGGTGGGAGGGATGGTGAGAAGCATGCGGAGCCAAGAGGGGGGTGCTCTCAGCGATGGTGATTGTGAGGCCTGCCATGCGCCAGTGGGTCCTGCAAGCATGGTGGGAAGCAGCCGAGAGCACGAGGGAGAGGGTGAGGAAGAGAGTGGGGGAGAGAGTGGGGAGAGGATGATAGAGCGAGTGCGGGTGAGGGAGGGAGTAAGGGAGGGAGTGAGGTAGATATCGAAACAGAGAGTGTTGGCAGCGTTGTTGAGGGGAGTGAATGCAATGGGAGTGAGGGAAGCACGTGTGACGATAGTGGGAGTGAGAGCAAAGGCAATGAAACTGCTGTGGCGGGCAGCAGCACACCCACTATGGCCGGCATGGTTCGGAACGACACGGACAGCAGCGAGAGGAGCACAGGCAGCAGCACCAGTAACGCCAGCAGTGGCGGGTCCTCGGTGGGTGAACTGATCAGGGATGGGTCGGACTCTAGTACCAGCAGCAGCAGCAGCAGCAGCAGCAGCAGCAGCAGCAGCAGCAGCAGCAGCAGCAGCAGCAGCAGCAGCAGCAGCAGCAGCAGCAGCAGCAGCAGCAGCAGCAGCAGCAGCAGCAGCAGCAGCCAGCAGCAGCAGCAGCAGCAGCAGCAGCAGCAGCAGCAGCAGCAGCAGCAGCAGCAGCAGCAGCAGCAGCAGCAGCAGCAGCAGCAGCAGCAGCAGCAGCAGCAGCACCAGCAGCAGCAGCAGCAGCAGCAGCAGCAGCAGCAGCAGCAGCAGCAGCAGCAGCAGCAGCAGCAGCAGCAGCAGCAGCAGCAGCAGCAGCAGCAGCAGCAGCAGCAGCAGCAGCAGCAGCAGCAGCAGCAGCAGCAGCAGCAGCAGCAGCAGCAGCAGCAGCAGCAGCAGCAGCAGCAGCAGCAGCAGCAGCAGCAGCAGCAGCAGCAGCAGCAGCAGCAGCAGCAGCAGCAGCAGCAGCAGCAGCCAGCAGCAGCAGCAGCAGCAGCAGCAGCAGCAGCAGCAGCAGCAGCAGCAGCAGCAGCAGCAGCAGCAGCAGCAGCAGCAGCAGCAGCAGCAGCAGCAGCAGCAGCAGCAGCAGCAGCAGCAGCAGCAGCAGCAGCAGCAGCAGCAGCAGCAGCAGCAGCAGCAGCAGCAGCAGCAGCAGCAGCAGCAGCAGCAGCAGCAGCACCAGCAGCAGCAGCAGCAGCAGCAGCAGCAGCAGCAGCAGCAGCACCAGCAGCAGCAGCAGCAGCAGCAGCAGCAGCAGCAGCAGCAGCAGCAGCAGCAGCAGCAGCAGCAGCAGCAGCAGCAGCAGCAGCAACACCAGCAGCAGCAGCCGCAGCAGCAGCAGCAGCACCAGCAGCAGCACCAGCAGCAGCACCAGCAGCAGCACCAGCAGCAGCACCAGCAGCAGCACCAGCAGCAGCAGCAGCAGCAGCACCAGCAGCAGCAGCAGCAGCAGCAGCAGCAGCAGCAGCAGCAGCAGCAGCAGCAGCAGCAGCAGCAGCAGCAACACCAGCAGCAGCAGCCGCAGCAGCAGCAGCAGCACCAGCAGCAGCACCAGCAGCAGCACCAGCAGCAGCACCAGCAGCAGCACCAGCAGCAGCACCAGCAGCACCAGCAGCACCAGCAGTAGCCATGGCAGAGACAGCAGTCCTGGAACCACAGAAGAAGCTTCAAAAGCGTCCAAGGGAATGGCAGCAGCAGCAGCAGCAGTGCCTGAGGCGGCAGCAGCAGCAGCAGCAGCAGCAGCAGCAGCAGTAGCAGTGTATGAGACGACCCAAGAATCAGCGGAAGAAGCGTTTGCCTTGAAAAGCAGCATGGAGTGTGCGGCAGAAGTAGCTGGATATGACTCAGAGCCAGCAGCACAATTTACCAGAGCAACAGCCCTGGTCTCGGCCACGCCAACAGCACCTGCAGTACCAGCAGCACCAACCGCACCAGCACTGCCTGGTTCCCAATGCTCTCCTGCCATGCCTGCTACAGGCTCTCACTCCCGTCCAAGCGGCTCCGGCCTTGCCCAGGGCTCACGGGCACTCTCTTGGCTGCACAGACGCGTGCAGCGGAAGAGGAGCAGCCTGAGCAGCGCATGGCCACGCATCACCACCATGGGGGCGCACATGCTCGAGTACTTAAATAGAGCATGGCGGTGCACTTTAGCTACTGTCGCCCATATGTTGGAGTTTCTCCTCACTATCCTCTTCCTCTCAGACCACCCCTGCACGCGCATCCGCTCGGCCATGCCCTTCTCGCGCCTGTGCCAGCAGGATCAGCGGCTGCTGGCAAGGAGCTTTGCAGTGACCGAGGGGATCCCCATGGAGAGGGTTACGAAAGTGCGCAAGGCACTGGGAGCGGTGAGTGTGCAAGGAAATGTGGGTGCGGGTGTGGGTGCGGGTGTGGGTGTGGGTGTGGATGTGGGTGGGGTTGTGTTGTGAGTCTGGGTGAGGGTGTGATCATGCCTGCACACGCATCCGCTCGGCCATGCCCTTCTTGTGCCTGCGCCAGCAGGACCAGCGGCTGCTGGCGAGGAGCTTTGCGGAAGCGGTGAGAGTGAGTGGAGCGGTGAGTGAGTGAGGAAGCGGTGAGTGTGAGTGAGGGAGCGGTGAGAGTGAGTGAGGGAGCGGGGAGTGAGTGAGGAAGCGGTGAGTGTGAGTGAGGAAGCGGGGAGTGTGAGTGAGGAAGCGGTGAGTGTGAGTGAGGAAGCGGTGAGTGAGTGTGTGATGGAACTGATAGAGATGTGCCACCTTGTTGCTTGTTAGTGACATGAGATCAAGTCTAAATGTTTTTGTTTTCTTTCTCCTCTTGGTGTTCTCTCTACTGTTTCTCTCACTGTTTTCCCTTCCTCCCCCTCCCCCTCCCTCCCACACCCGCCGCCCCCCAACGGACTGTGAACGACCTGGTGATGGCAGTCAGTGCTGCGGGCTTTGAGAGCTACGTGCAAGCCAAGAGCTATGGCATTGACGAGTCAACTTGACAACTTACTTGTCGCGCCCCCCATACCCTTGCCCCCACCCCCTTCTTTAGACTGTGAACGATCTCATGATGGCAGTCGTTGCTGCGGGCATTGAGAGCTACGTGCAAGCCAGGCGGGATGGCATTGATGAGTCAACTCAGCAACTCTCTGAGCTCTGTGGATGGGCCAGCAGGAGCGGTGCCATACGGTTCAGAGCGGTAACGATGGCTGATCTGAGAAGCAGATCCAGAAAGGGCCCACCTGAGGTAGGTGGTATCTGGGGTGAAGGGCGCGCATGGGGTGGGTGATACCCGGTGTGAAGGGCGCATATGGGGTAGGTGTTACCTGGTGTGAAGGGCGCATATGGGGTAGGTGGTACGTGGTGTGGAGTGCACATATACGGTGGATGGTAGCTGGTTTGAGCGCATATGAGTGTGCACGTTGGTCATAGCCTTGCTCTCTCCAACTTGCTCCTGTTGTAACCTTCGTGATTATTCCCCCCCCCTCCCCCCCCGCCCTCCCCCTCTCTTTCCGCTCAACACCCGTTGTCTCTCAGTGGGGCAATAAGCTTGGAATCAACGTCATATCTCTCCCCATCTCGCTTCCTCCTTATCCTCCTCCTCCTCCACCTACCGTAACAACTCTAAAACTCACAAGCGCTGTATCAGCCCCACTGCCACGTGTCAGCACCTCCTACAACGCCACACTGCCACATAGGATGGATGGCCACGTTGTCATTGATCTCATGCCAGAAGTAACCGCACCTGATGCAGCAGTGGACAATGCTTTTGGAGGGAGGACAGTGGCGTGGAGGATAGAGGGGAGGAGAGAGGAGGGTAGAGGCGAGGAGGGGAAGGGGAGGAGAGGAGGAGGGGGGAGGGAAGAGGGGAGGAGGTGAGGCGAGTGCAGCGGGTGAGGGCGGTGTGCGAGCAGAAGAAGGTCTCGTGGGAGGCTCGTCTCACCAACCTCTATGCACGCCTGGCCCTCGCCCTCCTGGGGCGCAAGCCCATGGCATGGCTGTTTGCGAGGGTGTCTCAGCAGACCTCGATTACAGTCTCCAACATCGCCGGGCCAAAGGAAAAGCTGTGTCTTTCAGGCCATGGTGTGTCATCACTTGTCATAACCACAGTGGGCCAACACCAGGTGTGTATATCAAATGTTTATTTGCGGTTTGCTTCTTGCAAGAAAATCTGACCTAACGCTGGCTCTCTTTTTTCCTTCCTGAAAAATTGCACCCCTTTCAGGCTATGACGTGCCATATTGAATCATATGCTGGATACTTGAATCTTGTTGTTAGTGCACTGGGTGACTACATCCCTGATGCCCCAAGCATGTGTTCCCATTTCATGGAGGCCTTCAAAAGATTGGAAATGGAGGTCATGTGCTACGAGAATTGGTAACGGTTTTATGTTCTTTGTATCTGGAAGCGAGGAGAGGCATTACCGAACCTTTCCACCATGGTGTTTTACTTTGTGTGGAAGCTACCATGGGTAAGATGTGGACCATATGAAAGCATAGCCTTTTAGTCAACGCAATACGACAAACACTAGTGAGCTGAGTGTGTACGGTCGCTTCTATAGCGGGTCTCTGCTGCAACACCAAGCATTTCGGAAAAGCGCTGAAGGCATGCCACGTGGCTGCCACTTTTCAGCCAGCCGCCAGCAATCAACCTCTCCTCCTGGCTGGCACAAGCCGAGCGGAGCCACTGCGTGTGGTGGGTGACAATCTCGGTGGAGCCTCGATGTTGGTTTTGGTGGTCATCAGTGGCATGATCAGGGCGTGGAACATAGTGTTCGAACAGCCTCTGTTCGCACTTTCACCACACAGTACCATGCGAATTCTTAACTGAAACACGCCAGAAACGCTAGTAAAATCTTTGTACCGTTCGGGCTGTTCGAACTATTAGGAGATCCGAACAAGGGGAATTCCCTCAGGAGCTTTTGTTCGTTATTATCACTTTCCGCCGAAAGATTTCCACCCAGCCTGGAAAGTGTCCCCTTCTTTACAACCTCGAATCTATCCCACGCTGACACATGCTAGCAGTTGTCAGAATAAAGCCGCCATTAGCGGTTTTGCCTCTCTTCCTCGCTTCCTTCCTGATCGACTCGACTTCTCTGCACGGTCGATGCGAGTGCGACTGCGTGGGGAAGAGCTAGCGCACGACTCGGTTTGTTTTCCTCTGATTGGTCAAATTAGAAGCAAGGCGTGGTTCTTGAACCCCTGGCTTTTTTACGAGAAGAAATCGCGTCGCCTCATTCATAGAGCCGAAATTCCCCTTGTTCTTTCCCTAAGGTTAGCAGTCGAACATTCTTCGCACGAAGAGCCGTAGAGAGAATGACGAAAATGGGCGAGTCTGGGTAATTCTGACAGCCACTCGGAGATCTTTTGCTTTGAAACAGCTACGCTCCTGGTTGACGGCCCATGGCGAGCTCCGTTCCGTGAAATCCGCTTCGTTCAGATACTCGTTATTTCCAGCACTGTCATAGCATCCAGCATCGCGGTAGCTCGTTCATCCCTTTGGGTCGTCACTTAGCTTCGGAAGTCCCAGCCCAGGTTCGGAAGTTGCGCAGAACCAACTTCAATTCAGGAGGTCGTCTAATCACCCAGTTCTGAAGAATCTTGAGAAACTTCCCTAAGGAGCGGAGAGGATCGTGACGCCATGCTAGGAAGTCTTTAATTACCCGGATCTGGAGGAGGTGGCGAATAAGGAGAGGGGGTCGCTGAATAAGCTCCTTTTGCGCGGTATTCGTCCGCGAAGTGCGGGGATCTTTCTTGATATTCCAACCAGGAGATACTTCACGCGAAGAATTTCAAGGTTCGTCTAAGGAAAGCTTATAAATCTCTTGTCTCCCCATCTGCCTTCCTCGTTGTTATCATACGACGTCTCCCGTCCTTCGCCATCACTGTTCGTTCTCGTCTCGTCTCCTACTACAGCCGCGTCCCTCCCTTCGCTATTGTCACACCCGTTACGCGAATCCCGCCATCAGATGGATTCCCTGAGGGCGGGAGCCCACGTGATGACGTCATCTCTTCTCTACACCATCTCGTCCGGTCCCTCTTTCTCGTCCGACTGTGAGTTGATTAGGCTGATCACATCGTAAGTTCCACATAGGCTAGATGACGTCATCGTTCCTCTACACCATCTCGTCCGGTCCAGCTCACTCTTCCAGCTGTGAGTCCCTTAGGCTGATCACATCGTAAGTTCCATGTAGGCTTGATGACGTCATCAGTCCAACTTTCTCTTCCAGCATGAGTCCATTAGATTGACAATTCTTTCTTTCTTTCCTTTTCCAGTTTTGTAATGCTCCTGTTTGGCCGTCATTCTGTGGCCACTCGACCCGTACGCCCAACAATCTGCAGCTCCACCTCTGCCCAATCCCCTGCTCACAATTTCTCTCTTTCTCTCCTCGCGCAGCTCCACCTCTGCCCAATCCCCTGCTCACAATTTCTTTCTTTCCTCACCTCCCTCTCTCCCTCCCGTACTGCCAGTTTGGCCTTCCTTCTGCGGACCACACGACCCCTACTCCCAACACTGCCTCACCGCCTCGCTCCTTTCCCCCCCCCCCTCCTCCCCTCCTCTCTCCTCCACCTCACCCACCCACCTCCTCCTCCCCTCCCAGTACCCCCCTCTCCCCCACCCCTCCCCTCTCCGCTCTCTAACATCACTCTTCCCACAGTCACATGGCCCCAGATAGAGCGCCTAGCAGCAGTGGAAACCAGCCCGGGGTTCCTGCCTCCCTGGCTGGTGTACCTCCCGGTCTCCCCATGCCTGCAGCACGCCTCCTTCCTCCTCTTCTCCGCGTTTTTCATCGTCTGCACTCTTTCCCACCTCCTCATCCTCCCGAAACCCAAACCCACACACCCCCCGAGCCGCTCTCCTTCCGCTCCTTCCTCCTCCTCTTCCTCCACCTCTTCCGCTCCTCCCGCCTCTTCTGCCTCTGCCTCTTCCTCCTCCGTTAACCCTTCCCCCTCCGCCTTATCCTCCTCTCGAGTACCAAGCTTGAGGACGACAACCGAAGAGGCTGAAGAACCAGATGTTACCACAGCAGCAGAGGCACACTGGGAAGCAGGGGCAGGGCACTGGCTCTCTCTCTTCCTCTCCCTCCTCCTCTCCGTCTCCTGGGCGATTCTGATTCTCTCCGGGCTCCTATCCACTCTCATATACCCCGCTGCTGGCAGCAAGCACAGGGCGTATCCACACGACCTGGCCTATGCAGCCGGCCAGGTGGTAACCTGGTTACTAGCGCTCTGCGTGTTACTGCTGTACGGCAAGCGAAGGGACAGAAGCCTCGTGGGTTCGGCTAGGGTTTGGCTGTTTGCCAATGCCGGTGCGGTGCTGCTGCTTTCTGCTGGTGTGGCGCTAAGGTTTGGCTCCCCTGGAGGGTTGAGGACAGTAGTAGGAAGTGCAGAAGTGGAGGGTACAGCACACAAAGGTGCCTTTGGGGATGAGGCGTCTGCTTTAGATAGCACAGGGGCCTTTGGAGTGTGGAGCGATTTTCTCACACTAGTTACCCTCCCAGTGGCTCTTTTCTTTGGGGTGATTGCGGTCAACGGACGTCCGGGATGGGCTTTGCCTGGGGCGCAATCTCAGCCGTCGGATGTAGAATCTATCGAAGATGGGTTGCGGACGCCGTTGCTGAGCGGTGCAGGAGCAACCAGAGAAGGCCACGTGGCAGAGAAGCCTAAGAAGCAGCATCGGAAATCGATTCTCTCTAGAGAGTCAGTAGGGGGTTCAGGAGAAGCAGAGGAGGGGGGGAATCGGCGGCGTTCACACTTGGAACAGTTGAAAGATGAGGAGGAGGAAGAGAGGAATCCGCAGCAGCAGCAGGAGCCCCCTGTGACCCTCTATGCCTCTGCTGATTGGCTCTCAGCGCTCACGTTCGGGTGGGTCTCGCCGTTCCTGGAGGCAGGCTCGGAGAAGACCGTGGCTGTAGAGGACGTGCCGAGCCTAAGGGCGTGCGACCGCGCCGAAGCTAACTTCCGATCCTTCGATGCGAGCTGGGCGAGGCAGATTGCTGCGGCCGAAGCTACCGAAGCTGCGGCAGCAGATAGGGACAGAGGAACAGGCTCCATTGTCAGTCTCCCTTGCTCACTCGCTCAGGCGTTCTCTTGTGAAAACCTTTGCTTGGTTCTCTATCGATGCGCCTCCGCCCTTTCCTCCTGCATTCTATACGCCAAATCCTCCCTCTCCTCGCTGTTTAGCTCACCTTACGCAGACTGCAAGGCAGAGGGGACTGTAGAGAAGGGGGAGCAGGAGGGGGAGGGGGAGGAGCAGAGCAACCCCAAGGCGACGGTAACCAGGGCTCTCTGGGAGTGTTTCTGGCGGCCGCTGGTGCTGACAGGTGCCCTGGCGCTGGGCAAGACGGGGGTGATGTATGCCGGGCCGCTGCTGCTCAACAGCTTTGTGGCGTTCGCTGCGGGGGAGAGGGCGATCCCAGGGGAGGGCGTGCTGCTCGTGCTGGCCCTGTTTCTTTCCAAGGCATCAGAAATCGTGCTGGAGCACCAGTTCAACTTCAGATCAGAGGTGAGAACGAAGGGGGTTAGTGTTGGGCTTGGTGGGGGCTATCTACCGCAAGGGGCTGCAGCTTCCTCTCACTCTAACATCAGCTCCAATCAAACCCCGTACCACAAACCCTTGCCTCATCTAAGCTGCTTGGGCTGGATATCAAGGTGCCCCTGGTGGGCGCTCTCTGCTGCAAAGGGCTGCAGCCTCCTCCCTACCATGTGCTTAATCACTAAACCCCAAACCCTTTACCGCATCCCAGGTGCTTGGGCTGGACATCAAAGCTGCTCTGGTGGGCGCTCTCTACCTCGAGGGGCTGCAACTCCCTCTCCCTCACTCTTTCATCAGCTCGCCAAAACCCCAAACCCTTTTTACCACATCCCAGGTGCTTGGGCTGGACATCAAAGCAGCCCTGGTGGAGGCTCTATACCGCGAGGGGCTGCATTTTCTTCTCACTCTAACATCAGCTTAAACCCCGTACCCCATACCCAAACCCTAACCTCTGCGCCTCATCCCAGGCGCTTGGCTTGGACATCAAAGCTGCTCTGCTGGGCGCTGTCTACCGCAAGGGGCAGCGATTGAACCTTAATCGACTTTTGTTGTTCTCTATATCCCTTGCTTGCTCCAGGTGCTTGGGCGGGACGTCAAAGCAGCTCTGGTGGGGGCCCTCTACCATAAGGGGGGGCTGCGTTTGAACCTTAATCAACTCTTGTTCTTTATCCTTTGCTCCAGGTGCTTGGGCTGGATATCAAAGCAGCCCTGGTTGGCGCTCTCTACCGCAAGGGGCTGCGGCTGTCGAGCAAAGCGAAGCAGAGACACACGATAGGGGAGATCGTCAACTACATGTCCACGGATGCACAGGTAGGCCCAGGGGCGAATGGGTGGAGAGGGGTGAGAAGGATGGAGGGGCTTTGTTGATGGTAAGTGAAATGGCAAAAAGCAGAGACACACGATAGGGGAGATCGTCAACGACATGTCCATGGATGCCCAGGTAGGCCCAGGTGCGAATGGGTGGAGATGGGTGGAGATGGGAGGAGATGGGTGGAGATCGGTGAGAGGAGAATTGCTGTTTTTTGGTGAGTGAAGTAAATAGGAGCAGAGGCACACGAGAGGGGAGATTATCAGCTACATGTCAACTGATGCCCAGGTGTGAAGGGGTGGAGAGGGGTGGAAAGGGACTGAGGTGGGCATATCATGAAGAGCAAAGATACACTTTAGGTGGAAGTGATGGTTGAAGTGCAAGGGAAGGGATGGTTGGGGTGGAAGTGACGGAAGTTGGGGGGGGAGGAGATACTTGTAAGGCATGCAACTGTCAAGTTCCGAGAAACCATTTGCCATTGCTTGCTTCGTCCTCTCCCTTGCCCCTTACCTCAGCCTTTCCTTGGCTAACTGTTCGTCTTCACATTGCTTGCTCTCTCTTGTCCTCATCTCTTTCTCCCGGTCCCCCTGCCCCAACCCCCCGCCCCCCCCCCTCCTCCCGGTTGACTTTTGAGTCGACTCAAAAGTCTCTTCCCCCTCGTCCCCCCTGCCCCAACCCCCCGCCCCCCCCCTCCTCCCGGTTTTTGCCACTCCCTCGCCCTCCCCTCTTCCTTCACTCTCTCCTCAGTAGATCCGTTGGCTGTCGCGGTCGAATCTACGCTTTGCTACTGCGAGAGATTTCCTCACAGAGCACAACATATGGGTGCTGCCATACCAATAAACCTATTTTTACCCCTCCCCCTCTCTCTTTGCCCGTATCACTGTGCTTTCCCCTCCTCTCTTCCACACCTCATCGTCTGGCGGACATCATGTGGGAGCTGCACACCGAGCTGCACATCATTTGGGTGCTGTGACAACTATGAACTTCTTTTGCCCGCCCCCACTTCCGCCCTTTCCCCCTTCCCTCACCAGCGTCTAGACGACCTGATGTGGGAGCTGCTCAACATCTGGGTGCGAGAGACGTGTATTGACCTCTTTCTCCCCCCTCCCCTTCCACTTTCCCCCCCTCTATCTCACTGCAGCGCCTGGCCGACCTCATGTGGGAGCTGCACAACATCTGGGTGCTGCCGCTGCAGATCGTCTGCGCTCTTGTCATCCTCTTCAATGTGAGCCTGGCCTCTAACCCCTTGTCCTCGTTTGAACAAAGTCGCCTGTGCTCTCATGATCCTCTTCAATGTAAGTGCCCTCTCCCCTCTCCTTCTCGTCCGTTGACCGCCCCCCTCCACTCTGTGATAGCCCTCTCCCCTCTCCTTCTCGTCCGTTGACCGCCCCCCTCCACTCTGTGATAGCCCTCTCCCCTCTCCTTCTCGTCCGTTGACCGCCCCCCTCCACTCTGTGATAGCCCTCTCCCCTCTCCTTCTCGTCCGTTGACCGCCCCCTCCACAGTGCTGGGCGTGATGCTGACAGTGCTGGGCGTGATGCTGACAGTGCTGGGCGTGATGCTGGCAGTGCTGCTCGCCAACCTCTTAGTGGCATCTGGAATCCACCGCTTCGTCACAGCAATCATGGCAGCAAAGGATCCCCCTCTTTCTCCTCTGTCCTCCTCTCTTCCCCACCCTCCCATGCAGGTCGTTGGCATCAGCATGCTGGCAGGGTCGGGAGTGATGTTAGCTGTGATGCTCGCCAACCTAGCAGTCGCCTCAGGAATCCACCGGTTCATCACAGCCATCATGGCAGCAAAGGATTCGCGCATGAAAGCCACCTCCGAGGCCCTCGCCTCGATGAAGATCATCAAGCTCTACGCCTGGCAGCAGCAGCTCCAAGCCACCCTTCCTCTCTCCCATCCCTCCGCCCTCCCTGTCTCTCTCCCTCCCATGCAGGTTGTTGGCATCAGCATGCTCGCAGGACTGGGCGTGATGTTAGCAGTGATGCTCGCCAACCTAGCAGTGGCCTCAGGAATCCACCGGTTCATCACGGCAATAATGTCCGCAAAGGACGCGCGCATGAAAGCCACCTCTGAGGCCCTCTCCTCAATGAAGATCATCAAGCTCTACGCCTGGCAGCAGCACTTCCAGGCGAAAATTCAGTCCCTTAGGGACTCCGAAGCCTCCTGGCTGGTCAGATTCATGGCATACGCAGCAGTCAACATCTTCCTCCTCTGGCTCACCCCGCTCGCCGTCTCCGTCGCGACGTTTGGCACGATGATCGCCCTCGGGGTGCCGCTGACCCCCGGGTCGGTGTTCACTGCGATCGCGACGTTTCGGATTCTCCAGGAGCCGTTGAGGTCGTTCCCCTCGGTGATCAGCGCGGTGACTCAAGCTATGGTCTCGCTGAAGAGGCTGTCGAGGTTCCTGTCGGATGAGGAGCTGCAGTGGGATGCGGTGGAGAGCGTTGGGAGGGGGGAAGGAGGGGATGGGGAGGGGGGCGAGGGACTGGTGAGGGGTGGTGAGAGATTGAATGGGGGTGATTCTGGAGTTGGACTTGGAAGCGGCCAGCAGCAGGGGGGGGAGAAGGAGGGGGAGAGGGAGGGGGAGAGGGAGGGGGAGAGGGAGGGGGAGAAGGAGGGGGAGAGGGAGGGGGAGAAGGAGGGGGAGAGGGAGGGTGAGAAGGAGGGGGAGAGGGAGGGGGAGAAGGAGGGGAAGAGGGAGGGGGAGAAGGGGAAGGGGGAGGTGGAGAGTGAGAATGGGGGGAGGGAGGAGTCTTCGGGGAGGGGGAAGGAGGAGCAAGAGGAGGGGGAGAGGCAGAAGCAGGGAGAGGTGGGGCCGGACGTGGTGGTTCGGATTGAGAGGGCTACGTTCAGCTGGGATGCAGACCCACAGAAGCCCACGTTGACTGACGTTGACCTGGAGATTAGGCGGGGAATGAGAGTGGCCGTCTGTGGGACCGTGGGGGCGGGCAAATCCTCCCTGCTGTCGTGCATCCTGGGGGAGGTGCCAAAGCTGCAAGGGAAGGTGAGGTGTTGGATTGGAATTGAGAACTCTACCTGGAGGTCAGGCACGGCATGCGTGTGGTTATCTGTCAGAATGTAGGGGCGGGCAAGTCCTCCCTGCTCTCGTGCATCGTGGGGGAGATTCCGAAGCTGCAAGGGAAGGTGAGGTGTGTAAGGCGGAGTCTGGGGTAGGGTTTCTGGGCTTTGGCAAGTCCAGCCTGCTGTCTTGTATTCTGGAGGAGGTACCAAGGCTGCAAGGGGTGAACCTGTCTCAACTTCTCCTCCCTCCTCCCTCCTTCCCTCCCCACTCCCTCCTCTCCGCTCCCCTGTCTCAGGTGTTTGTTGCGGGCCCCACAGCCTACGTCCCCCAGTCCGCGTGGATCCAGAACGCCACCATTCGGGACAATATTTTGTTCGGCCAACCACTAGACCGCCCGCGCTACCAGGCGACCCTGCAGCAGTGCGCGCTGGTGGCTGATCTGCGGCTGTTCCCCCGGGGGGACGAGACGCAGATAGGAGAGCGAGGGGTGAACCTGTCGGGCGGCCAGAAGCAGCGCATCCAGCTGGCCAGGGCGATGTACGCCGGGGTGGGGATGGGTGCAGAGGTTTATCTGCTGGACGATCCCTTCAGTGCCGTGGACGCCCACACGGGATCAGAGCTCTTCATGGTAAGGCTTGGTTGAGGGAAGACTTCAGGTAGGGCACTGGCATTTTTGGTGGGGCAAGTGGGGTCTATTGGGTAGGGCGCTGTGGAGTTGGGACGAGACGCAGATAGACGAGCGAGGGGTGAACCTGTCGGGCGGCCAGAAGCAGCGCATCCAGCTGGCCCAGGCGATGTAGGCAGGGGTGGGGATGGGTGCGGAGGTTTATCTGCTGGACGATCCCTTCAGCGCTGTGGACGCCCACCATACCGGTTCTGAGCTGTTCATCGTGAGACAATCTGGTGTCATGGGGTGCAGAGCATTTGGGTTTGTGTGTGGTCATTCACCAGGAGATGGGTGCGGAGGCTTATCTGCTGGACGACCCCTTCAGCGCTGTGGACGCCCACACAGGCTCTGAGCTGTTCATGGTGAAACGATTGGGGGTTTAGGACACTGGGGTTTAGGGTGAATCTGCCTGGGGTTTAAGATTGACCTAAATCCCTCCATCTCCCCTTCCCCCCCCCCCCCCTCTTTTCCCTCTGTCTATTCCCACCAGGAGTACCTCGAGGGCCTGGCCAGCAGGACTGTCATCCTGGTGACGCACCAAGTGGAGTTCCTGGTGGTATCTCTCACGCAACCTCCCCACCCAACCCTACCCTCTCCCTGTGGTGTCACAGGAGTACGTGCTCAAGGGCCTGGCCGACAGGACTGTCATCCTGGTGACGACCCTGGCCTTCTTACGCATCCCTCTCATCTCCCCCTCACTCCTTCTCCCCACGCGTCCCTCTCCCTCCCATCAGGAGTTCGTGCTCAAGGGCCTGGCTGGCAGGTCTGTCATCCTGGTGACGCACCAAGTGGAGTTCCTTCCCGCTGCTGACCTCATCCTGGTGAGATGCTGGCGTCATCCTGGTGAGATGCTGACCTCATCCTGGTGAGGTGCTGGCGTCATCCTAGTGAGATGCTGACGCCATCCTTGCAAATGCTCTGTCTGTCATTCCTGTCTGTCTGTTTTGAGACCATTCTGCTCCATGTTGAGTCGGTTTGGTTTGGTTTGGTTTGGTTCGGTTCAGTTCGGTTCGGTTCGGTTCGGTTCGGTTCGGTTCGGTTCGGTTTGTCCTTGAAGGAAGCCAGTGCTTCATCGCCCTCACTTCTTTAATCCTTGCCTTTCTCCCCCTTCAACTAGGGGTTGAGGGAAGGGCGCATATTGCAGGCAGGCAGAGCGCTACAATCAGCTGCGGGCACACACTGAACGCTTTTGAGGCGCCTCAAAACCATTTTGAGGCGCCTCAAAATGCGGGCAGAGGGCGCACACTGAACCCTTTTTCTCCTCCTCCCCCTGTCGTCCCCACCCCCCACACACAACCAGCAGGTGATGCAGGACAGGATGGGCGCATTGTCCACAAGGGGTGCTACGACCAGCTGCTGGCAGAGGGCACTGAACTCTCTGCCCTGGTGGAGGCACACACTGACTGACGCTCCTCTTTCCCTCCCCCCTGCCCCCTGTCTTCCCTTTCATCAGGTGATGAAGGAAGGGCGCATAGTGCAGGCAGGAAGATACGACCAGCTGCTGGCAGAGGGCACTGACTTCTCTGCCCTGGTGGAAGCACACACGGACGCGCTGGAGAGTGTTGGAACAGCCACTGCCGCTGCTGCTACAACTGCTGCCGCTGCCGTTGCTGCTGCTGCCGATGCAGCAGCTGCTGCTTCAGCTTCTTCCTCTGCTCCTGCTCCGGCTGCTGCTGCTGCTGCTCCTGCTGCTCCTGCTGCTGCTGCTACTGCTGCTGCTGCTGCTGCTGCTGCTGGTGCCTCACATGCTGCTTCTGAACTTCCCCCCTCCTCCTCATCCACTCCTCTCCTCCCCAAGCAACCACCGATTCCCTCCCCAGCAGACCTCCCCCCATCCACAGCTTCGGAAACCCTCCGACCCGAACCTGCCGAAAACGCTCGGCACCGAACCTGCTGCGCAAGGCCTCGCATGCGCAGCTTCGGAAGGCGTCCGATCCCATGCTCCTGCACACAGCATCCCCAGAGTCCCACCAGATCCTAGATAACATGGACATAGGGGACTTGGGTGGGAATTCTGTTGGTGTTTCCGGTGCTGCTGGTGCTGGTGGTGGTGCTTTTGGGGGGGCTATAGGGGAGGATGGGGATGGGCAGTTGATTAGTGACGAGGAGAGGGAGTCCGGGCGGGTTTCCTTGTCCGTATACTGGCAGTACATGACGAAGGCGCTGGGGCGGCTGGCACGTGCCCGCTGCTGCTGCTGGTCCAGCTGGCGTGGCAGGCGCTGCAGATCGGATCTGACTGGTGGCTCGCCACGTACAGCTCAGCAGACTCGGGAAACAGCTCAGCAGGGGCAGGCTACACGTCAGCAGGAACGGGGTACACGTCAGCAGGGGGCTGAATACAGCTCTGCAGCGGCCGGGTTAAGTAGCAGTGTTCTGAGCAACCTCACCTCTGCTCTCTCCTCTCCTTTCGCCTCTAATCTCTCCTCCTCCCCTCACCCCATCCCTCTCCTCCCCCTCCTCCTCCTCTCTCTTCCTCCTCTTTCTCCTCCTCCCTTTCATTCCTTACCCCCTCAACCATCACCCCTTCGGCCTTCATGAGGCTGTACTCGTTATTAGCTCTGGGCAGCGGCGTGTTTGTGCTTTTAAGAACAGCCGTCATATCGTGGGCCGGGGTGCTGACCACGCAGGCGTTCTTCAGAGGCATGCTGCAGTCCGTCTTCCGCGCCCCCATGGCGTTCTTTGACTCAACACCTATCGGAAGGATCTTATCGAGGGTAAGCTACACATACACATTCACTCAGTGACAATAAGGTGTAATTGCATTCCCTTGTCCAACTTCACTCCCTCGCATTCCCTTCACAAGTGTCCTGTCCACTCCACTCCTCCCTTCGTCCCTTCTCCCTCTCTCCTTCCCTCTCCTCTCCAGGCGTCCACGGGAACAAAGCGCTCTAGACTTGGACCTGCCATTGAGGTCGGCTTGTCTCTTGCCATGCTGTTCCAGCCAGCTGCTCAGCATTCCTTTCGTCGCTCCCTCTAAACCCCTATCTCCTCTTCCTCCATGCCCATCCCCCTCCCTCTCCAGGCCTCAACCGATCAAAGCGCCCTGGATCTGGAACTGCCATTCGAATTTGGGTCTCTCCTCGCCTTGCCATGCTTGTTCCAGCTGCTGGGCATCCTCTTCGTCACTTCCTTCATCACGTGGCCCCCATCCGCCCCCCTTCCCTCTTCGCCCCCCTCTCCCTCGCCTTCCCCTCCAGGCCTCCACCGATCAGAGCGCCCCTAGAATTGGATCTACCCTTTGAGTTCGGCTCCCTCCTCGCCATGCTGTTCGAGCTGCTCCTTCTTTCCCCCTTGCCTCCCCTCCCCTCTCCACACCTCCACGGATCAAAGTGCTCTACACTTGGACCTGCCGTTTGAGTTCGGCTCCCTTTTAGCCATGCTGTTCCAGGCTGCTCGGGATCCTCTTCGTCACCTCCATCATCACATGCCGGCCCTTATGCCACCCCCCATCTCCCTCCCCTCTCCTCCCCTCCAGGCCTCCACAGACCAGAGCGCCCTGGACTTGGACCTGCCATTCCGAGTTCGGGTCTCTCCTCGCCATGCTGTTCCAGCTGCTGGGCATCCTCTTCGTCACCTCCATCATCACATGGCCGGTGTTCTACGCCATCATCCCCCTGGCGTACCTCTACTTCTCCTTCCAGGTAGGGTCTGCCCCGTACCTGGTAACACCACCTACCCCTTGTAACCCATGCCTCCATCCATGCATCACATGGCCCGTGCTCTACGCCATCATCCCCCTGGCGTACCTTCTACTTCTCCTTCCAGGGTGAGAGACGTATAACATAGTTCACACAGATAGCACCCACCTCAGCTGACACCTTCCTCCCTCCATCACGTGGCCCCGTGTTCTACACCATCATCCCACTGGCGTACCTCTACTTCTCCTTCCAGGTGAGACTGGTAACACTGTAACTCAACAGAGCCTACATATCATAAGGGCGCACCCACATCCTTCATAACATGGCCAGTCGTCTGCGGCATTATTCCCCTCGCCTGCCCCAACCTCCCCTTCCAGGTGAGACTGGTAACACTGTAGCACGGATGTAACCTACAGCTTGATAACCCATCCACCCTTCATTCCACGGCCTGTGTTCCATTCCTTCATTCTCGTGGCATATCGCTGGTTCTCCCTCCAGGCAAGACTTTGCATTTGTAACACAAATACAATTTAACCCTTCGGTAACCCATTCCTCTTTCTATCACATGGCTTGCTGACAAATTTGTATTACTCCTTGCAAACGAGACAACGTAACAAGTCAGCCGTATATGATACCTTCCTTGAAATCATCCAAAGTGCTCTTCTGGCAATGTTATGCCCTTTCAGCCATAATCTGTAACAATGTAACAAATCAAAGTTACTCCCTCTCAGCCAACAAAGTATGCCCTCCCCTTATGTATGTACCCCGCTTCCCTTCCTCCACAGGAGGAGTACTACCTCACAACACCGCGTGATAGGAGTCTAGTTTTGAGGCGCCTCAAAACTAGACTCCTTTTGTATGTACCCCGCTTCTCTTCCCCCACAGGAGTACTACCTGATTTTGCAGGGTGTTTTTAAGAATTCTCAAAAACACTCCGCTTCCCTTCCCCCACAGGAGTACTACCTGATTTTGCAGGGTGTTTTTAAGAATTCTAAAAAACACTCTGCTTCCCTTCCCCCTCAGGAGTACTACCTGATTTTGCAGGGTGTTTTTAAGAATTCTAAAAAACACTCTGCTTCCCTTCCCCCTCAGGAGTACTACCTGATTTTGCAGGGTGTTTTTAAGAATTCTCAAAAACACTCCGCTTCCCTTCCCCCGCAGGAGTACTACCTGATTTTGCAGGGTGTTTTTAAGAATTCTCAAAAACACTCCGCTTCCCTTCCCCCACAGGAGTACTACCTGATTTTGCAGGGTGTTTTTAAGAATTCTAAAAAACACTCTGCTTCCCTTCCCCCTCAGGAGTACTACCTGATTTTGCAGGGTGTTTTTAAGAATTCTCAAAAACACTCCGCTTCCCTTCCCCCGCAGGAGTACTACCTGATTTTGCAGGGTGTTTTTAAGAATTCTCAAAAACACTCCGCTTCCCTTCCCCACAGGAGTACTACCTGATTTTGCAGGGTGTTTTTAAGAATTCTAAAAACACTCTGCTTCCCTTCCCCCTCAGGAGTACTACCTGATTTTGCAGGGTGTTTTTAAGAATTCTCAAAAACACTCCGCTTCCCTTCCCCCGCAGGAGTACTACCTGATTTTGCAGGGTGTTTTTAAGAATTCTCAAAAACACTCCGCTTCCCTTCCCCCACAGGAGTACTACCTGATTTTGCTGGGTGTTTTTAAGAATTCTCCTTGTGTATGTACCCCGCTTCTCTTCCCCCACAGGAGTACTACCTGACAACATCTAGGGAGCTTTCCCGCCTGAATGGCGTCACCAAGGCACCCATCATCGAACATTTCAGCGAGTGAGCTGCTTCTACCTGGCATCCACACATTCCAAATCAAACGAAGCACACAAGGGAGAACGGAGCGTACTTTTCTTGAAGGGAAAAAAGGGATCCTCTAGGTTAGAAAAATACGCTCCGTTCTGCACATTCCAGGTAAGGGAGAACGGAGCGTACTGCTTTTGTGTCGACTCAAAAGCAGACTCATACACGCGGTTTTTACATTCCAGGTAAGGGAGAACGGAGCGCATTTTTCGAACCTAGACGATCCCTTTTTCTCTTCAAGTTTTGCCCAAGACACGGGCGTTTGAGCCACTCCACTGTCCTCTCTGCTGCGCACACTGCCATGACGCTGTGGGTCTTCTTTGCGCCATGGCTGGTTTCCACCGTATGGAAATCAATCACCAAGCACTATTTGATGACGTGAAGAATCCACCGTAATTGCCTTATGGATTCTTCACGTTTTGAGACGTCTCCAAGCACTATTCTTCACGCATCCCTCCATCAACCCTCTCCCCCAGGTCCCTGTCAGGGCAGCCGACATCTGCGCATTCGCCCAGCAGCCCCGCTTCGCTCATAAGAACGCCGAGAGGGTGGATACCAACAACCCAACTATGTACTTACTCTGCTTTTCTCTCTCTCTTTCTCAGGTCCCTGTCAGGGGCAGCGGTCATCCGCGCATTCGCCCAGCAGCCCCGCTTCGCTCATAAGAACGCCGAGAGGGTCGACACCAACAACCGAGTGGCCTTCCACTATGGCGCCTGCACCGTGTGGCTGGGCGTTCATTTGGAGCTATTGGGAGCTCTGCTGCTCTGTTTCTCGGCGCTCATGCTCGTATGGCTGCCTCCCTCGGTCATTTCGCCAGGTGAGATCCATTGGCCTTCCACTATGGCGCCTGCACTGTGTGGGTGGGATGCACCTCGAACTGCTGGGGGCTCTGCTGCTGTGCTTTTCAGCCCTCATGCTTGTCTGGCTGCCGCCTTCGGTCATATCACCAGGTAAGCATAACACCCGACAGCAATATTCGCAGGCAGACACACCAACAACCGTGGCCTTGCACTATGGCGCCTGCACCGTGTGGCTGGGCGTTCATTTGGAGTTATTAGGGGCATT